CCTTCCTCCCTTCCTCCCTTCCTCCCTTCCCCTTTTTCCCCTTTCTCTTTTTCCCTTTCTTCCCATCTCACACAGCCTTTCAGGGACCCCTGTTCTGCAGGACGACGCCAGGACAGACCCAAGGAGCCGACTCTGTTGTGGGGACAGGGAAGTTCTCGTGACACAGACCGTTTCCCATCCAGGACCCCACATTCCCGGACTGAATCCTTCCCGAAGCTCCTGGAGRGACCGACCCCCCCGTCCCGAGACGGCAGCTAAATAAAGGCAGCAAAGTGGATGTGCCGGAGCAGGCGGCCGCCTGCGGCTCGTCCTTTATTTAGCACAGTTTTGTTTGGAAATACACTTTCTCGAGTTCGCGGAGAGCTGAATTTCTGGATTGGTTTAAATTTGAAGGCTGGAGCCCCACGCTGCCGCTGCGGGAGGCTCRGGCTGGGAGAGGGCTCATGTAAACACATGGAAACCCGTGGCGGGACGGGCTCTGAGTGGGGACCAGCGGSGGACAACATCCCCGTGGTGACCCTACATCTCCTGGGCTCAGGAGCGCATCCATCCTCCAGCACCGCCCTGGCATCTCCCCACAACCAGAACAGCTCCGGGGGCTGCCAGAGGTGTCACTGGAAGTGCATCCCCCTCCTGCCCGCTTTTCGGGAGTTTCATAAACCTGCCCGTCACAATTTCCCCTCACAGGAAAAAAAAATCCAAACTTCCCCTGACAATCGCTGCGGGTTAATCCCATTCCCAAACCCCTGCTGGCTGCGGGGCAGGGCCGGGACCGTCCCCCGCCGCTGGTGCCACGCGTCCCGCTCATGTTAACAGCGTTWACATGTGGGAAACAAAAACAGGCTCATAATACGAGTTTCGGGAATGAGCGGCCCCCCGGCTCCCCGCGGCTCCGAGGCAGCGACACCGCGGACTGTCCCGGCTAATGAGCTGACAAGAGWGGCAACAACTCCTGCCACGAAACTGCAACAACGCGGCTGCCACCGCGGAGCGGTGCCCCGCGGAGAATCCGAGCGTCTCCAGCAATCTGCCAACCGCGCAGTTAAATTTATTTATTTTATTTCTTTTTCTTAAAAGGGATGTTAAATGTTACGGCAATATTCGGAGCAGGCAGCACGCTGGGAAAATGTGTTGAGTTGCCGGGGAAGTCATTAGTTAGAGCAGGCTGAACGTGTCAATGCGATTTATCATCACACCTTTCCCTGCACCTCTGGAAGGGACGCGTTTCGGCTGCCACCCGCTTCTCGCATCCTCCCAGCATGGATTTTCCATGGAATTGTGCAGACAGCCGGGCTGCGCTCGRGTGGAATCGTCCCGGCGGGGACTGGAGGAGCTGAGTTTGGGGATGATGAGTTTGCAGGGGCAGGAGGGGTCGGTGCGAACAGGTCGCACTCGGTGCCGCTGCCTGCCCTGCGCCCGAGATAACGCTGCCCTGCGCCGGGAGATAACGCTGCTATCTCCCGCGGCGATGCCCTTCATGCCCCAGCAGCAGGACAGCAATGTCAGCGGCCAGGAGGGAGCTCCGCGTGCGGCACAACCGAGAGAGAGCAAATCTCTCCTGCTCATCCCGTCCCGACAAAGCCACCCGGCACTGAGCACCCACAAACCGAGGGGTGGCAGCGGGGTTGAGGGCTCCTCGAGCCATGCCGGGACAGCAGCAATGCCTGAATAACTCGCTCCTRCAATGCCCTGTCTTTGAGCACTGCCAATAAATTAAGGGTCAGCACAAGGCAGGCCGGGTCAGGACGTGCAAAGAATAAATGAGAATAAATGGCCCCGTTTCCCCTCYACTGCCAGAGAGGACAGGCTCCCACCACAGTGCATCCCTAATGAGAAAAACTGCTCTATTTTGGCAGGGACACAGGAAGAAAACAGCCACAACCTTCCCCCCTGGACCCCCAAATGCTCCCCATTTCCCACAAACAGCCAATAAATTTCTGTCTGTGAGCCTTGATGGCACATGCAGAAGGGAAACTGAGGCACACAGGACAAGAAGGAAGGCCCTTGGTGRCAAGACCAGAGGTGACAGGGTGCCTGGAGAGATGCTGGCTCATCCCTGTCCCCTTGAGCCACGTGTGGATGCCACGGGTACGGGAGGAGAAAAAAGGGCCACGTGCAGCCTTCGTCACCACCGGGGCCAGGTGGCCTCTGCGGGGTGATGGGCTTGTGCTTAAGCACCCTAAAACTCCTGCTAAATGCWCCCTGGATCAGGGAGATCCTAAAAAGAGCCTTCTGGAGGCTGCACTGAGCACTCGTGGGGTCCTGTGGTGGGATGTGGGGGCTGAGCATCCCTGGCTACCCCCAGGTCTATTCCAACTCCAGCCCCCATCCCTTTCCAGTCCCTACACCCTGCAGGGACACGACCCCTGCCCAGCTGCACCCATCCCTTTCCAGCCCCTACACCCTGCAGGGACACGACCCCTGCCCAGCTGCAGGACACTGTCAGAGGGACCTGGGAACACCACAGTACCCACAGTCACCCCA